TCTCTCTGCTCCCAATTTCCCACTCCCTCTCTCCCAATTCCCCACTCCCTCTACTCCTAATTTCCCACTCCCTCTCTCCCAATTCCCCTCTCCCTCTCTCCCAACTCCCCACTCCTTCTCCTCTCAATTCCCTATTCCCTCTCTCCCAATTCCCCAATCTCTCTGCTCCCAATTTCCCACTCCCTCTCTCCCAATTCCCCACCCCCTATACTCCCAATTCCCCATTCCGTCTCTCAAAATTCCTCACTCCCTCTCCTCCCAATTCTCCATTTCCTCTCTCCCAATTCCCCATCCTGTTATCCTCTTTACATCCACCTTTTCAAGGCAATTCAGGATCTTATAGGTCAGATAAGGTCAGCGTAGCCCCAAAGGACCACAGGGCTATTCTCTCACTGGAGAGAGATGACTGGTGATGCTTTAACCTGAGGCTCACTGTGCCTCGGGTGAGGGGTGAGGTTGAGAAGGTGGGATCTTCATGGTGACCTCAGCCAATACAGGAACTGAACCTGTGCTGTCGATCATTATTCTGCATTGCAAATTAGCTACCCAGTCAACTGAATTAACCAACCTACATAGGATCTTACATCCTTCAATCAAATCATCCCTCACACTTCTAAACTCCATTGGAAACAACCCACTCATTCCAGGTCTCAATTTAGTAAACCTACGAATGACCTCAATTTACATCCTTCTTTAAATGAGGAAACCAGAACGTTACACAGTAATGTAAGATGTGGTCTCCTCCATTTTATCCATTTTAGTAAAGAAAAACACCTCACACGCATTTACCGATTACAGCTAAATGTACATCACAATGTATATTTACTTGACAAACAACTCCCACTGTTCAGTAACCAAAAAATAAAGCACTCACAATGATCAAAAAATACATATACATTGTTTTTCCTCTTAACATTTTTCAGCTAATCAATAAAAACGTCCAAGTTCACATTCTGTGTAAATATGAGGATTGATATCACATGCCCAATGATTGTAACCGTTACTACATTTTCTATTTGTAAATTCTAAATGCAGTTCATTATATCTGGATTTCTAATATATCGCGCATAGCTGGTGGGAAACATATTGGAAAACTTTGGCCTATCAGTTGCTTAACTAGTTAAGCCTGACTTGTGTTATCATCCATATATCTGTTTCTTATATGAATATTCTGTCATTATGCATCTCAAGCTGCAACAGCCCTTCAAAATATACTTCACATAGAGTTGTATCATGACACTTCATGTTTTCAAAATAATGTTATAGTTTTACAACAGGATGTAGGTACATCCTTTCAACAGAATGGAACTTCCTCCTGCTGCTGAAAAAAAAAACCTGACTTTACTTTTGGCAATTTTGGAATACATTATTACCCAATTACTGTAGCCCCAAGTTGCCTTAATAGACCCATCTTTTCATCCAATTCCTTTGAGCCAGTCATAGCTTAAATTTCTTCACCATATCATGACTAACCCTGCCCACTGCTAGCCATTTCCAATCACAGAGGGAATGAAATTGACATCTGCTGACTCATTACAACTCCTGTATCACAATACTGGAAAAAAACCAGTTCCATCTCCACAAATTTCAAGTAATCATTTTAACCTCATAGTTTACCTAATTTGATTGCATCATTAACATTGTATTTGGAGATGAGAGATTTGCATGAACAGTTAAAACTCAAGACAGAAACACAACCAATGGAAAATATGAGTAGGTCATTCAGTTCGACAAGCCAGTGTCTATTTGATTGCAACCCTTTTGCCTGCCCTTATTTCATATCCTCTTACCCACAAGAAAAAATGCGTTCATTACAGTTTTGAGAACTTTATTTGATGCAGCATGCACTGCATTTTTGGGAGAGGGTTCCACACTTTCACAATTTATTTGTCCAGATTTCAGTCCTGATCTGCCTGGCCCATCTAAGATATCCCCTGGTTCTCGAATCTACCGCCAGAAGAAATAGTTTCTCCATGTTTTCTCTACTGATTCGTTTATATTATTAAGGAATCTACAGCCCAACTTTCTGAACTCCAGGGAACACAACCTCAAGTTTATTCAACTCAGTTCTCAGAATTTAACCCTTGGTGGCCTGGGGAATGTTTGCACTGCGTTTTCTTAATGTGTGGCCATCTCACAGCTACCCGGCTGGGTTTTCCCAGGGCCTCACTGAATCGAAGTATTTGAATTATTGTACTTTGAGGGAACACAATTACAACGTATTCACCAATGGAAGATCCCTCAGTTGCAACGTGTCAATAAGAAACAGGATTTTTAAGAAATGCAATGTTGGAATACACTCCGCTGCTAAGACAACAGACCCATTCTCAGCCGTTTACATAGAGCGCCTTAAATTAGTGAAAGGTTATGGGGTGGGGGTAGCGGGAGGATTTTCCTTTTTAAAATTAAATTTTGCGTGGCCAATTTTAAGAGGCTCCAGGTTGGAACTGCCGCTGAGGTTTTTGTGTGGCTTGTTTGTCACATAAATACACGAGGATCTAAGTCAAGCATTGGCTTTGGCAGGAGCTTGACTCTCAATGACTCTCAGCCTGGGATAGCAATCTTAGCGTTAACTGCAGTTTGCGCTGAGTTACTCTGTAACAGTAAACTGCATCAGGGATTTGTATAGTTACATTGATTTATACACAAATGACCACAATTCAGCAAAAAAAAAGCTTACTTTTCGCAATTTAATCAGTTTCAATTTTTTTTTAAATTTAAGTATATATAAATCGATCATCTAATCAGGAGTGGCCCTTACCCTCTGTAATCTTTCCCTTTCCGAACGGTTAGAGTGACAATCATCTCAACAAGTGTCAGCAAGATCAAAAGCAACAGCAGCCAGTATAAGGGATCATTCTTCACTAAAGTTACTCTCCAAACTGCTAACACGGTGTGCAAGATAAAAACCACTCGAGGAACAACAGCACTCAGATAAACAAACAGAACCATGGTCTCCTTCTCCCTACAGCCAGATTCTAAAAGCTTCCTTTCTCGGTCTGGAGATTTTGGCTCAGCTCAGACGGGGACAGATTATAATATCTTGAGGTCAAACCTGCCCCTCTGGGAGCACTGCCCACTCCTGCGCCCCTCCCTGTTTAAGCCCTCTCGCTCCCAGCAGATTGCAAAGGGAGAAAGAAACAGCAGGAAGGTCACTAACTGGAAAACGATTGTTTGAAGTATTTGAATTATTTTACTTTGAGGGAACACAATTACAACGTATTCACCAATGGAAGAGAGAATGAAATACGTTCGTCCTAGAGAACTACTGATATTACTAAGTTGACTAATGTACTGTAATTTAATGATTGGAGGTTAATTTTATTCTTTCATGGGATGAATGTGTCCCTGTTTCCCACCTAGACATTATGGTCAAGAAAGCACAGCAACACCTCTACTTTCTCAGGAGGCTAAGGAAATTCAGCAAGATCACAATGACTCTTACAACTTTTTATGAATGCACCATAGTAAACATTCTATCTGGATGCATCACAGTGTGGTATGGCAACTGCTCTTCCCAAGACCTAAAGAAACTGCAGAGAGTGGTGAACACAGCCTGGCCATTCATGCAAACCAGCCTTCCATCCATTGACTCCATCTATACTTCCTGCTGCTTTGGGAAAGCAACCAACATTATCAAGGATCCCTCCCACCCCGGTTATACTCTCTTCCACACTCTTCCATCAGGCAGAAGATGTAAAAGTTTGTATACACGTACAAACAGATTCAAGAACAGCTTCATCCCTGCTGTTATCAGAGTTTTGAATGGACCTCTTTAATGTTAATGTTGATCTCTCTCTGCACCTTCTCAGCAGCTGTAACACTGTATCCTGCATTCTGTTCTGTTACCCTCACTGTACCTCGGTACATTTGACCGTAATAAATCAAGTCAAAATTTGATGCCAACCCTAACTGCCCTTGAACTGCACGGCTTTCTAGGCCATTTGAGAGGGCCGTTAAGAGTGACTCACATTGATGTCATTTTGGGGGCACATGTGGGCCAAACCAGGTAAGGACGGTGGGTTCAATTCCCTGAAAGGGCCCAGACCCGAAACGTCAGCCTTCCTGCTCCTCTGATGCTGCTTGGCCTGCTGTGTTCATCCAGCTGTACACCTTGTTATCTCAGGTTCTCCAGCATCGGCAGTTCCCACTATCTCTTAGTGAATAAGATGTGTTTTTACAATGATTGATGGTAGTTGTCATGTAGCCTTAGAGCAATTTGGTTTTATGCTCAGGCCTTTTCAATTTCTTTCATGTCCACACAAGCACCAACTTAAAAAGGCCAATTTGTGCACAGCCTGCACTGGGAACTCAAGGGTTGCAGTTTAGAGAGAACATTGTTCAATTCCTTTAAGATACCAAAAATCTCAAAGCTGTACACATTAAGACAGGTGTGATCTCCCTAAAGCTCTGCCTCAAAGCAAAGCCTCCTTAATCTTGTACTCCAACTGTCCATTAATGAAAAACCTCCAGCATGCCATTGCTTTTCTAATTTCTAGCTGTGCCATCACACTAATTTTCTGCACATTGTGTCCAAGAGCATCTAAAAGTTATTTGAACTGGCAAAGATTTAGATTTAGCTTTTATTGCCGTGTGTACTCAAGTACAGAAATGCAGGAGCACAGTGAAAAGTGTATAATGTCACCACACACAGCACCATCTTAGGCACAAAGGTACCTAGGTGCAAAAAACTTAGGTACAATGTAGTAAAAGACAGAAACAAAGTTTAAAAAATAAGCATTACAGACCAACATAATATAAGTAAGAAACGTAATAGTTAACATGAAAGTCCTTAATATAAACTAGAAAAATAAAGAAATAAAGTTAAAGGTTCAACAGTCTTTCTTGAGTGCTTAGCCATAATGGGGCCTCAATCTCCTTTGCTTAACTCGCCTCTGATCTCCTCCTGCTGCATCCGGTATATTACCGGCAGGATTCCCTTGCAGCCTCCGGGTTCCTTGATGCCACGCTTGGTTGAATATGGAATTCAGCTCTTTTGTCCACATTTGAACCAAGGCTGTAATGCAGTCAGTAGCTGAATGGCCCTGACAGTACCCAAACTGGGTGTCACTGGGCAGGGTTATAGTGGTGCAACAGGGACCAGAGACTTGTTGTCCATTTGGCTGGTCATTACCATGCAGAGGCAGATCTTTTTCCCCAAATGGCGTATCAAACCCAAACCAATGACTCGTTAAATGGCCATTAAATAGTTCCAGGATTGATAAAATAAGTGATGGGTTAGGTCCAGGCTCAGTGCACCTTGTGTAAAATACCTGGCTATGTCTGTCAAACTCATGCTTTCAGATACAAAATAAATAAAACATATAAGAAACCTTTGACTACGCTGTTCTCTATTTCTACCACATTTCTTTATACACCCTCACTTGAATGGCTTCCTGTGCGACAGTGTCATTGTCATTCAGTTATACGCCCTGCAGGTTTTGCCCTCACATATGTTAGTGTCTGGTACATCACGTTGTTAAGGTTTCGTAAGGTTAAGAGAAACAGGTAGTGATATGAATTGATTTTGAGCGCATGTAAATTGGGGCAACTGTGACACGAGAGCAGAGTAAGTTAATAAACTCCACAAGGAAGGGCTACCCCACCAACCAGCTCAGAATCTACAAACTGCCTACACAGACAGCAAGAATCCTGTACCTGTTAAATAAGGGCAAAGGCTGAGACTCGTCCTGTTCTGTCCCTGGGGTTCCCTGACCAACCTCACTCATAGATTCATCCTCCTATCATTGATCATTAGCCAGAGAAGGCTTCCTTAGGGATTTGAACATCAAGGTAAATCTCCTTTTTTTGATGCCCCATAGTGTATATGACTTGGCTCAACAACTTTGAGGTGAAGTTTCTAGTGAAGCTGGTGGTTACCACAACTGTGTTTTGGGAGTCTACTAAAGATGTACCTTTCTGGGATCACAGTGCTCTCCAATAGCCAAATGTGCTACCATTTCAGGACATTATTACCTGTCATGTCAAACACATATAACCTTGTTTTATACTTGATTTGCCTTTCAGGTCCATGACCACTACTATCTAGAATACCACCACCTGCAAGTTCCCCTCCAAGACACTCACCGTCCTGACTTGGAAATAGGTTGACATTCCTTCAGTGTCATTGGAACTCCTACCCTCATGGTATTGTGGATGTTCGTACACCAAATGAACTGTAACAGTTCAAGAAACTAGCTCACTACCATCTTCTCAAGGGCATCTTGGTATGGGTAGTAAATGCTGGTTCATCCAGTGACCCCCACACCTCATCAGTGACTGAATGAATGATTGTTTAAAACTGAAAGAGTTGTTATTGAGCAGCAGGAGGCCATTTGGCCTATCATGTCCATGCTAGCTCTCTATGTAAACATTGAAACTTCGTGCCAATCTCCACCCTTTTCCCTGTACCGCTGCACATTAATTCTATTCAAATAATCATTGAACGCCCCTCTTGGATGCTTTGGCTGAGCCTGCCTCCAACACAGTTCCAGGCAGTACATTCCAGACCTGAGTTACTATTTTTTCTTACATAGTTCCTTTTTTGCATATCACTTTAAATCTGTGCCTTCTCATTCTCAATCATCTTGAGAGAAAGATCAGCTTCTTCCTATAAACTCTGCCCAGTCCTCTCATAATTTTAAGATCTGCTTGTCTTCTTCTCTCCAAGGACGAAAGTACCCATCTCCAATTTCCCTTCATAGCTGAAGTTTCCCACCACTGGAACTATGTTTGTAAACCTCTTCAGTGCTCTCTCTGAAGCATTCACATTCTTCCAACAGTGTGGTGCCCAGAACTATACACAATATAGTAGTCTAACAAATGATTATACAAACTAAATGGAATCATTTTGATCTTCAACTCTATGCCCTTTTTAATAAACCAGGATACTGTCTGCTTTAATAATTGCTCTCTCTCCTTGTCCTGTCAGCTCTAATGACTTTTGGATACATACATCCATGTCTCTCTGCTTCTGCAGCCTCGTTAGAATTGTACCATATATTTTATGTTGTCTCTCTGGGTTCTCCCTCATTGAAATTTATCCTTCACATACCTTCTCACACCCCCAAGCTGAAAAAATAGTTTTGAAGATCTATACTATCCTTGACCTTATAAAGGTTTATAAAATCATGAGGGACATAGATAGGGTGAATAGCCAAGGTCTTTTCTCCAGGGTGGGGTGGGAGAGTCCAAAACTAGAGGGCATAGGTTTAAGGTAAGAGGAGAAAGATTTAAAAGAGACCTAAGGGGCAACTTTTTCATGCAAAGGGAGGTGAGTGTACGGAACAAACTGCCAGAGGAAGTGGTGGAGGCTGGTACAATTGCAACATTTAAAAGGCATCTGGATGGGTACTTGAATAGCAAGGGTTTAGAGGTATATGGGCCACATGCTGGCAAATGGGGCTAGATTAGTTTAGGATATCTGATCAGCATGGATGAGTTGAACCGAGGGGTCTGTTTCTATGCTGTATGCTGTATACTGTATAAGATGAGGGGCGGCACGGTGGCACAGTGGTTAGCACTGCTGCCTCACAGCACCAGCAACCTGGGTTCAATTCCACCCTCGGGCGACCATCTGTATGGAGTTTGTACATTCTCCACGTGTCTGTGTGAGTTTCCTCCGGGTGCTCCCACAGTCCAAAGATGTGCAGGTTAGGTGGATTGACCATGCTAAATTGCCCATGGTTCAGGGATGTGTAGTTAGGTGGGTTGTAGGGGAATGGGTCTGGGTGGGATGGTCTGAGGTTCAGTTTGGACTTGTTGGGCCAAAGGGCCTGTTTCCACACTGTAGAGTTTCTATGAACTCCATGATTTTATAACCCTATTTAGATCATTTAAATGTATATCAGGCAAAGCAATGGTGCCAATACTGACCCTTGGGAGATCTCGACTATGAGCCATCCTCCAATGTGAAAAATGTGCACTAACCATTTGTGTCTGTTTCCTATCATGCAGCCAGCTTTATATCCATGTTGATACACTCTTGCA